AATGTTGCCTTCTTATAAGCAATGAATGAGAGTTTCTGTTGTTCCATATCTTGTTCCACATATTTGCCTGCTTATGGTATTGTTCTGGATTTCAGCTATTCTTCTTTTATTTATTTTTTGCATGTCTTTTTTATTTTTAATTGAAAAATAACAATTGTACATATACATTGGGTACACAGTGATGTTTCAACATATATAATATACAATGAACAGATCAGAGTAATGATAATATCTACCATCTCAAAATTTACCATTTATTTGTGTTAGGAACATTCAATATCCTCTTTCTAGCTATTTGAGTCTATATAATATATTATCATCATCCTGCAGCGGTATAGAACACTAGAACTTATTCCTCCTATCTAGCTTGCCATTTTATAACCTTTAACTAATCTCTCCCTATCTCTCCCTTCTCCCTGCTCTTCTCAGCCTTATCCTCTCTTCTACATTTTGTTTCTTGGAGATCAATGTTTTTTCTTATATGAATGAGAATATGCAGTGTTTACTTTCCATTCCTGGCTTATTTCACTTAATATAATATCCTTCAGTTCCACCAATGTTGCCATGAATAACAGGATTTCATTTTCTTTATGGTTGAATGATATTCCATTGTTTATACATATTACATTTTTGTTATCCATTTGTCTGTTGTTGGATCCCTAGATTGATTCATTATTTGGATATTGTCAGTAGTGCTGCAATAAAGCTGTGGGCAGAGGTATCTCTTTGATATAATGATTCCCTTTCCTTTAGATAAATGCCCAGTAGTGGGATTATTGGATCCTATGGTAATATTATTTGTTGTTCTTGGTGGCACTTCCATACTATTCACCATAGTGAGTATACTAGTTTACATTTCCACCAACAGGGTACAAGAATTCCCTTTACTGTGCATCCTCACAAGCATTTATTTTTTGTCTTTTTGATAATAGCTATCTTGCATGGGGTGAAATAATATCTCATTATAGTTTGATTTGCATTTCCCTGGAGTATCAATGATGTTGAGCATTTTTTCATGTATTTTGATCAATTGTATGTCTTCTTTTGAGAAACGTCTGTTCAGATCATTTGTCTATTTTAAAATCAGGTTGTTTTTTGCTGTTGAGATGTTTGAGTTCTGTGGCCAGGTGCAGTGGCTCACGCCTGTAATCTTAGCATTTTGGGAGGCTGAAGCAGGCAGATCACCTGAGGTCAGGAGTTCAAGACCATCCTCCCTAACATGGAGAAAACCCATCTCTATTAAAAATACGAAATTAGCTGGGTGAAGTGGCTCATGCCTGTATTCCCACCTACTTGGGAGGCTAAGGCATGAGAATCATTTAAACCCAGGAGGCAGAGGTTTCAGTGAGCCGAGATTGTGCCACTGTACTCCAGTCAGGGTGACAGAGAGATTCTGTCAAGGGAAAAAAATGATATTTGAGTTCCTTGTATATTCTGAATATTAATCCCCTGTTGAGTGAGTAGCTTGCAAATATTTTTCTCCCATTCAGTAGGTTTTTTCACTCCGTTAATGATTGTTTCCTTTGCTGTGTGGAAACTTTTAGTTTGACTTAATCCCATTTGTTTATTTTGGCCTGTGCTTTTGAGGATGTATTCATAAAATCTTTTCCTAGACCAATGTCTTGAAGTGTTTCCCTATGTTTTCTTCTAGTATCCAAACTGGAAAGGAGAAAGTCAAATTGTCTGTGTTTGCAGATGACGTGATCTTAATATAGCACAACCTAAAGATTCTACCAAAAACCCTCTTAGGACTAATATTCAGTAAAGTTACAGGAGACAAAATTAATATACAAACGTCAGTGATATTTGTATTCACTAACAATAAACTATCTGAAAAAAATTGAAAAGGCAATCTCACAATAGCTACAAAAAATAAAATAAAATACCTAGAAACAAACTTAACTAAAGAAGTGAAAGACCTCAACAAGGAAAGCTACAAAATACTGATAAAAGAAATTGAAGAGGATACAAACAAATGTAAAGACATCCTATGCTCATTGATCAGAAAAATTAATATTATTAAAATAACAATACTATACAAAGCAATCTACAGATTTGATGCAATCCTAATCAAAATTCCAATGACAATCTTTGTGTAATAGAAAAAATAATCCTAAAATTCAAGTAGAAACACAAAAGACCCTGAATAGCCAAATCAATCCTGAGCAAAAAGAAAAAAGCTTGAAGTATCATACTACCATACCTTAAAATATGCTATAAAGCCGTAATTACCTAAACAGCAAGGCACTGGCATAAAAACAGATGCAAAGACTAATGGAACAGAATAGAGAATCTAGAAATTAATCCAGGTATTTACAGCCAACTAATTTTTGACAAATCTGCCGAGAACACTTACTAGCGAAAGGAGAGTTTCTTCAATCAATGGTATAGTGAAAACTGGGTATCCATATGCAGGAGAATGAAACTAGACCTCCATCTCTCACCTTAGATAAAAATGAAATCAGTTTCAATTTTTTGATAATGGCTAGCCAGTTTCCCCAGCACTATTTATCAAATAGGGAACCCTTTCCCCATTGCTTGCTTTTGTCAGGTCTGTAGAAGATCAGGTGGCCGTAGGTATGTGGTCTTATTTTTGAGTTTTCTATTCTGTTCCATTGGTATGTGTCCATTTTTGTATCTGTACCATGCTGTTTTTGTTACTGTAGACTTACAGTATAGTCTGAAGTCAGGTAGCATGATGCCTCCAGCTTTGTTCTTTTTGCTTCCAATTGACTTGTCCATTCTCGCTTTTCTTCTGTTCCATATGAATTTAAAAATAGTTGTTTCTAATTTTGTGAAGAATGTCAGTGGTAACTTAATAAGAATAGCATTGAATCTATAAATTACTTTGGACAGTTAGCCATTTTCACAATATTGATTCCTCCTGTCTATGAGCATGGAATGTTTCTCCATCTGTTGTATACTCTCTGAGTTCTCTGAGCAGTGGTTTGTAGTTCTCCTTGAAGAGGTCCTTCACTTTCCTGGTTAGCTGTATGCCTAGGTATTTTATTCTTTTTGTAGCAATTGTAAATGGAAGTTCATTTATGATTTGGCTCTCTGCTAACTTGTTGTTGGTGTATAGGAATGCTAGCGATTTTTTCACATTGATTTTTACATCCCGAGACTTTGATGAAATTGTTTAGCAGCTTAAGATGCTTTTGGGCTGAGATGATGGGGTTTTCTAGACATAGGATCATGTAATCTCTTTAAAAAAAAACAAAAAAAAAACAGAATTTGACTTCATCTCTTCCTATTTGAATACACTTTATTTCCTCCTGTCGCCTGATTTCCCTGGCCAGGATTTCCACTACTATGTTGAATAGGAGTGGTGAGAGAGGGCATCCTTGTCTTGTACCAGTTTTCAAGAGGAATTCTGCCCATTCAGTATGATATTTTGCCCATTTGGTATGATATTGGCTGTGGGTTTGTCGTATATGGCTATTATTATTATTATTATTATCAGATGGAGTCTTGCTCTGTCACCCAGGCTGTAGTGCAGTGGCCCGATCTCAGCTCACTGCAACCTCTGCCACCTGGGTTCAAGAGATTCTCCTGCCTCAGCCTCCTGAGTAGCTGGGATTACAGGCTTGTGCCACCATGTCTGGGTAATTTTTATATTTTTGGTAGAGATGAGGTTTCAGCATCTTGGCCAGGCTGGTCTTGAAGTCCTGACCTTGACATCCACCTGTCTTGGACTCCCAAAGTGCTTGGATTACAGGTGTGAGCCACCGTGCCCTGCTGGCTCTTATTATTTTGAGTTATGTTTCTTCAATACCAAGTTTATTGAGAGTTTTAAACATAAAGGAATATTTAATTTTATCAAAGGCCTTTTCTGTATTTGTTGATAAAATCATGTGGTTTTTGTCTTTATTTCTCTTTTTGTGATGAAACATATTTATTGATTTTTGTGTGTTGAACCAGGCTTGCATCCTGGGGATCAGGCCAATTTGATCATGGTGGATAAGCTTTTTGATGTGCTGCTGGATTGAGTTTGCCAGTATTTTATTGAGGATTTTTGCATTAAGTTCATCAAGAACATTGGCCAGAAGCTTTTCTATTTTGTTATATCTCCATCAGGTTTTGGTATCAGGATGATGCTGGCCTCATAGAATGAGTTAGGGAAGAGTCCCTACTCTTCAATTTTTTGGAATAGTTTCAGTAGAAATGGTACCAACTTCTCTTTGTACCTTTGGTAGAATTTAGCTGTGAATCCATCTGGGCCTGAGGTTTTTTTGTTGGTGGACTATTTATTACTGTTTCGATTTCAGAACACATTATTGGTCTATTCAGGGGTTCAATTTCTTCCTGGTTCAGTCTTGGTAGGGTGTGTTTGTCCAGGACATTGTTCATTTCTTTTCAATTTTCTAGTTTATATGCATGGAGATGTTTATAGTATTCTGATGGGTGTTTGTATTTCTGTAGGGTTAATAGTGATATCTCCCTTTTCATTTCTGATTGTGTTTTGTTTACTTGATTTTTCTCTCTTTTCTTCTTTATTAATATAGCTAGTGGTCCATTTCATTAATTTTTTCAAAAAACTAGCTCCTGGATTTTTTGATTTTTTGAAGGGTTTTTCATGCCTCTATCTCCCTCAGTTTGGCTCTGATCTTGGTTAGTTCTTGCCTTCTAGTAGCTTTGGGGTTTGCTTCCTCTTGGTTCTCTAGTTATTTTAGTTGAGTTGTTAGATTGCTAACTTGAGATCTTTCTAGATTTTTGATGTGGGCATTTGATGTTATAAATTTTCCTCTTAACACTGCTTTAGTTGCATCCCAGAAATCCTGGTATGTTGTCTCTTTGTTTTCTTTAGTTTCAAAGAACTTCTTGATTTTTGCCTTAATTTCATTATTTACCTAAGTGTCATTCAGGAGTGAGTTGTTCAATTTCCATATAATTGTGTGGTTTTGAGTGGATTTCTTAATTCTGAGTTCTAATTTTATTGCACTGTGGTCTGAGAGACTGTCACGATTTCAGCTCTTTTGTATTTGCTGAGCAGTGTCTTACTTTCTGTAATGTGATCCACTTTAGAGAAAGTGTTCTGTGGCAATGAGAAGAATGTATATTCCATTGTTTTAGGTTGGAGAGTTCTGTAGATATCTATCAGGTCCCTTTGATCCAGAGCTGAGCTCAGGTCCTGAACATCTTCGTTAATTTTTTGTCTCAATGATCTGTCTAATATTGTCCAAGGGGTGTTAAAGCCTCCTACTCTTACTGTGTGGGAGTCTAAGTCTCTTTGTAGGTCTCTAAGAATTTGCTTTATGAATCTGGGTGTTCCTTTATTGGGTGCATAAGGATTCAGGATAGTTAGCTGTTCTTGTTGAATTGAACCCTTTGAGGTAGTCTTCTTTGAGTTAAATCTGCTTGGTGTTCTATATTTTTCTTATACTTTGATATTAATATCTTTCTCTGGGTTTTGAAAGTTCTCTGCTGGCTAGGCATGATGGCTCATGCCTGTAATCCCAGCACTTTGGGAGGCTGAGGCAGGTGGGTCATGATGTCAGGAGTTGGAGACCAACCTGACCAGTATGGTGAAACCTTGTCTCTACTAACAAAAGATACAAAAATTAGCCGGGTGTGTTAGCACATGCCTGTAGTCCCAGCTACTCAGGAGGTTGAGGCAGAATAATCGCTTGAACCCAGGAGGTGGAGGTTGCAGTGAGCCAAGATTGCTCCACTGCACTCCAGCCTGAGTGACAGAGTGAGACACTGTCTCAAAAAAAAAAAAAATTCTCTGTTATTATCCCTTTAAGTAAACTTTCTACTGATATCTGTTTCTCTACCTCCCCTTTAAGGCCAATAACTCTTAGACTTGCCCTTTTGAGGCTATTTTCTAGATCCTGTAGGCATGCTTCATTGTTTTTTTCTTTTGTCTCCTCTCAATGTGTATTTTCAAATAGCATGTCTTCAAGCTCACTAATTCTCTCTTCTGCTTTATCAATTCTGCCATTAAAAGACTCTGATGGCATTATTTGTTATGTGAATTGTGCTTTTCAGCACCAGAATTTTGGTGTAATTCCTTTTAATTACTTCAATCTCTTTGTTAAATTTATCTGATGGAATTCTGAATTCCTTCTCTATTATCTTGAATTTCTTGGAGTTTCCTCAAAACAGCTATTTTGACTGCTTTGTCTAAAAGGACATATATTTTTTTTTCTAAAATTGGTTCCTGGTGCCTTATTTAGTTCATTTGGTGAGGTCACTTTTTCTTGGATGATCTTGATACTTGTAGATGTTTGTCTGTATCTGTCTAGTCTTCACAGGCTGTGCTTGTTTGTACCTACCCTTCCAATGAAGACTTTCCAGATATTCAAAAGGACTTAGGTGTTGTGATCTAAACTGTATCTGCTTTAGAGGTTTTCCCAAGGCCAGTAACACTGTGGTTCCTATAGACTAACAGAGGCCCCAACTTGATGGTCTTGGACAAAATATGGATGAATTCTTAGAGTACCAGGCAGAGGCTTTTGCTCTCTTCATTTTCTTCTTAAGAACCCAAATCTCTCTCTGTTCTAAGCCATCTGGAGCTGGGGATAGAGTGACACAAGGCAAAACCATTCAGGGCCACCACTACTAGGACTGTGCTGGATCAGAGTGAAACCAGCACAGCACTGGGTTTCACCCAGGGAACACCTAGCCACTGTCTGGCTACCACCTATGTTCCCTCAAGGCCTGGGGCTCTACAATTGGCAGGTGGCAAAACCTGCCATGTCTGTGCCCTTTCCTTCAGGGCAGCAGGTTTCCTCAGTGCCCAGGCAGGTTCAGAGGTGCCATCCAGGAGCTAGGCACTAAAGTAAAAAAAACTTAGAAGTTGACCTGGTGTTCTATTGTACTGTGGCAGAGCTGGCACTCAAATCACTAGACACAGTTCTTCCTACTATTTCTTCCCCTTTGCTTTCTTTTTTTTTTCCTCTTTCTTTTTTTTTTATTGTAATTTTGGTTCTGGGGTACTACATGTACAGATCATGCAGGATTGTTGCATAGGTACATACATGACAATGTGGTTTTCTGCCTCCATCCTCCTGTAACCTATATCTGGCATTTCCCCCTTTATTATCCCTCCCCAACCTCCCTACCCCCCAATGTCCCTCTCTTAGTCCCCTCCCAACAGACCCCAGTGTGTGATGTCCCCCTCCCTGTGCTCATTTGTTCTCATTATTCAACATCTGCCTATGAGCAAGAACATGCGGTATTGGATTTTCTGTTCTAGTGTCAGTTTGCTGAGAATGATGGTTTCCAGGTTCATCCATGTCTCTACAAAGGACACAGACTCATCGTTTTTTATGGCTGCATGGTATTTCATGGGGTATATGTGCCACATTTTCATTGTCCAGTCTATCACTGATGGGCATTTGGGTTGGTTCCAGATCTTTGCTATTGTAAACAGTGCCACAATAAACATACGTGTGCATGTGTCTTTATAATAGAATGATTTATAATCCTTTGGGTATATACCCACTAATGGGATTGCTAGGTCAAATGGAATTTCTATTTCTATATTGATTGCCTTGAGGAATCACCACACTGACTTCCATAATTGTTGAACTAATTTACACTCCCACCAACAGTGTAAAAGTGTTCCTATTTCTCCACATCCTCTCCAGCATCTGTTGTCTCCAGATTTTTTAATGATCACCATTCTAACTGTTGTGAGATGGTATCTCAATGTGGTTTTGATTGGCATTTCACTGATGACTACTGATGAACATTTTTTCAAATGTTTGTTGGCCTCGTAAATGTCTTCTTTTGCAAAGTGTCTGTTCATATCTTTTGCCCACTTTTCAGTGTGTTTGTTTTTTTCTTGTAGATCTGCTTTAGTTCTTTGTAGATTCTGGATATTAGCCCTTTGTCAGATGGGTAGATTGCAAAATATTTTTCCCATTCTGTTGGATGCTGGTTCACTCTAATGATTGTTTCTTTTGCTGTGCAGAAACTCTTAAGTTTAATTAGATCTCATGTGTCCATTTTGGCTTTTGTTGTCAATGCTTTTGGTGTTTTAGTCATGAAGTCCTTTCCTACGCCTATGTCCTGAATGGTTTTGCCTAGGTTTTCTTCTAGGATTTTTATGGTGTTAGGTTTTATGGTTAACTCTTTAATCTATCTGGAGTTAATTTTAGTGTAGTGTGTAAGGAACAGGTCCACTTTCAGCTTTCTGGAGATAGCTAGACAGTTTTCCCAACTCCATGTATTAAACAGGGAACACTTTCCCCATTGCTTGTTTTTGTCAGGTTTGTCAAAGATCAGATGGTTGTAGATGTGTGGTGTTTCTTCTGAGGCCTTTGTTCTGTTCCATTGATCTATATGTCTGTTTTGATACCAGTACCATGCTGTTTTGATTACAGTAACCTTGTAGTATTGTTTGAAGTCAGGTAGTGTGACGCCTTCAGCTTTGTTCTTTTTGCTTAGGATTGTCTTGTGTATGCAGGCTCTCTTTTGGTTCCATATGAAGTTTAAGGTAGTTAAATGATAAAGGGGATATCACCACCAAAGCAACACAAATACAAACCATCACCAGAGATTACTATAAACAACTCTATGCATATAAACCAGCAAATCTGGAAGAAATAGATAAATTCCTGGACACTTACACCCTCCCAAGACTAAACAAGGAAGAAACTGAATCCCGGAATAGTCTTGGGAGGGTGTAAGTGTCCAGGAATTTATCTATTTCTTCCAGATTTGCTGGTTTATATGCATAGAGTTGTTTATAGTAATCTCTGGTGATGGTTTGTATTTGTGTTGCTTTGGTGGTGATATCCCCTTTATCATTTTTTTTTGCAACTATTAGATTCTTCTCTCTTTTTTATTAGTCTGGCTACCAGATTGTTCATTTTGTTGATTTTTTTGAAAAACAAGTCTTAGTTTTATTAATTTTTTGAAAGGTTTTTGACTCTATCACCTTCAGGTCTGCTCTGATCTTAGTTATTTCTTGTCTTCTGCTAACTTTTGAGTGTTTTTGATCTTGCTCCTCTAGCTCTTTTAATTTTGACAATTTTAGATCTTTCCTTGCTTTTTTCATGTGGGCACTGATTGCTATAAATTTCTCTCTGGACACTGCTTTAAATGTGTCCCAGAGATTCTGGTACGTTGTGCCTTCATTCTTATTGGTTTCTAAGAACATCTTTATTTCTGCCTTCATTTCATTGTTTATACAGTTGACATTTAGGAGAAAGTTGTTCAGTTTCCATGTAGCTGTATGGTTTTGAGTGAGTTTGTTAATCTTGAGTTCTAATTTGATTGCACTGCGATCTGATAGACTGTTCGTTATGATTTCTCTTCTTTTACATTTGCTGTGGAGTGATTTACTTCCAATTATGTGGTCAATTTTAGAGTAAATGCCATGTGGTGTTGAGAAGAATGTATATTCTGTGGATTTGGGGTGGAGAGTTCTGTAGAAGTCTATTAGGTCCACTTGGTCCAGATCTGCATTCAAGTCCTGGATGTCCTTGTTGATTTTTTGTCTCATTGATCAGTCTAGTATTGACAGTGGGGTGTTAAAGTCTCCCACATTATTATGTGGGAGTCTAAGTCTCTTTGTAGGTCATTAAGAACTTGCTTTATGTGTCTGGGTGTTACTGCATTTGGTGCATATATATTTAGGATAGTTAGCTCTTCTTGTTGTATTGCTCTTTTTATCATTATGTAATGCCCTTCTTTGTCTCTTGATCTTTGTTGGTTTGAAGTCCGTTTTATCAGAGACTAGGATTGCAACCCCTGATTTTCTTTTGCTCTCCATTTGCTTGGTAAGTCTTCTTCCATCCCTTTATTTTGAGTCTATGTGTGTCTTTGCTCATGAGATGTGTCTCCTGAATATAGCACATTTAAGGGGCTTGACTTTTTACCCAGTTTGCCAGTCTGTGTCTTTTGATTGAGGCATTTAGGCCACTTACATTTAATGTTAATGTTGTTATGTGTGAATTTGATCCTGCCATTTTGTTGCTGGCTGTTTTTTTTCTTTTTCTCATTAGTTGATGAGGCTTCTTCATTGCCTTGTTGGTCTTTACCATATGGCATGTTTTTGTAGTGGCGGGTACTGGTTGTTCCTTTTCATGTTTAGTGCTTCCTTTAGAAGCTCTTGTAAGGCAGGGTCTGGTGGTAACAAAGTCTCTCAGTACTTACTTGTCCGTAAAGGATTTTATTTCTCCTTCACTTATGAAGCTTAGTTTGGCTGGATATGAGATTCTGGGTTGAAAGTTCTTTTCTTTAAGGATGTGAATATTGGCTCCCACTGTCTTCTGGCTTGTAGGGTTTCTACCAAGAAATCTGCTGTGAGTCTAATAGGCTTCCCTTTGTGGGTGACTCTCCCTTTCTCTTTGGCTGCCCTTAGCATTTTTTCCTTCACTTCAACGCTGGTAAATCTGATGATTATATGCCTTGGGGTTGCTCTTCTTGAGGAATATCTTCGTGGTGTTCTCTGTTTTTCCTGGATTTGAATGTTAGCCTACTTTACTATGTTGGGGAAGTTCTCCTGGATAATATCCTGGAGAGTGTTTTCCAGTTTGGATTCATTCTCCCCGTCACATTCAGGTACACCTATCAAACATAGATTAGGTCTTTTCACATAGTCCCACATTTCTTGGAGACTTTGTTCATTCCTTTTTACCCTTTTTTCTCTAGTCTTGCCTTCCCATTTTATTTCATTGAGTTGATCTTCAATCTCTTGTTTCCTTTCTTTGCTTGATCAATTTGGCTATTGAAACTTGTGTACACTTCATGAAGTTCTCGTGCTGTGTTTTTCTGCTCCATCAGGTCATTTATGTTCTTCTCCA